ATTTTTGCACAGATACTACTTGAGGAATTATTGAACATTTCACACAATGTGTGAGATGACTTGTGAGAGCCCCAAATTTCAAAGTTCTTTACATGTACCCTGATAAATAAAAAATATAGTCAAGTTTTTCCACGATGTAGCATATTTGTTTTATGAATTAATTTAATTTAATTTAAAACATCTTGTATTTTTAAAAGATATAATTTAAACTTTTAATGATTATACTATGAAATAAGATTAACACTAATCGAACACATGCAATGTCTCGTTCTGACCGCTGAAAAGACACACACACACACACACACACACACACACACACACACACACACACACACAGACACACACACCCACACACACACACACACACACAGACAATGCATGCCTGTCAAGCGAGGGGGAGAGATAATTACTTGTGGGATCTTTTCAACTTTAAATGTATGGACATCTTAGGAACTACTTCATCAACCGGCTGAAAAAAGTAAGATGATTTTATTTTTGACACCCGTTCATAACCTGTATGTATTCTTCTAATCTATAAAACATGTCGGATGATTTTTATCTAAAATAATAACTTTAGTTATTTATTTAAAAAATGAACGATAAAAGCATTTTATTAATATACTTTTAAATGAAGAATGTTGTTCAACTTAAGTTAGTGTGAAATAATATATTTGTAAATTACTAGATGTAAATTTTAACCATTTCATTTATATAGAGCATGATGTTTTTCAACTTTAGTGTGAAATATATGATACATATTGTCCTCACTTAAGGGGTATCATGTAACACACACACACACACACACACACACACAGAGAAGCGTGCGTCCCGGGCCCCTGTGACTTAGAGAGGTCTAAAGTAATTTATTGCCGATGATATCACCCATTTCTTACACATACACACATAGACACACACACACACACACACACACACACACACACACACACACACACACACACACACACACACACACACACACACACCACTCTGGTCAAGCGTGGGGGAGAGAGAATCACTGGGGGACAACTTTAAACTCATCTTTTACATCTTTTGTAAACCATTCATATTGTATGGACATCTTAGGAACTACTTCTTCAACTCGGTGAAAAAGTAAGATGGTTTTATTTTGTGAACCGTTAGCAACCTGTATGTTTTCTTCTAATCTATAAAACATGCCGGATGATTTTTATCTAAAATAATTGGATCAGTACATTTAGTTAGTTATTTTACAATGAATGAGAAAAGCATTTTATTTATTTGTTTATCTAAAATAATTGGTTTGGTGTGAAATATTTGTAATTTCATTTATATCATTTGAAAGAACTGAATGGTTTCAACTCTAGCCAGTGTGAGATATTTTCTCACTGTCCCAGCAAGAGTGCAGGAATGGGGTGGCGTCTCACTTACTCACACACACACACACACGCACATACATAGAAGACCAAAAGGTGCTGGTCAGCCACAGACTCGCTGTGAGAGAGAAAACAATCTGGGATCTTTAAATGATTCAACATCTCGGGACAGCCGGGAAAGTAAGATGGTTTTATTTTTTGTCACCCGTTAGCAACCTGTATGTTTTCTTCTAATCTATAAAACATGCGGGGTGATTTTTTATCTAAAATAATTGGATCAGTACATTTAGTTATTTATTTTACAATGAATGAGAAAAGCATTTTATTTATTTTTTTATCTAAAATAATTGGATCAGTACATTTCAGTTATTTATTTTACAATGAAAGATAAAAGCATTTTATTAATATACTTTTAAAAGAGGAATGTTGTTCATTTAGCTAGTGGCTGATATTTTCTCACTTCCACAGTGTCTTCAGGAATGCGGAGGGTATCATGTAACACACCCACACACACACACACACACACACACAGATGCAGTGACCATGGCTGTCATGAAAAAAGGCCGGTGAGAGAGAGGGAGTCGGAGGAACATCTTTGGGGAACGTCTGATAAAGTAAGATGATTTTATTTATTGCACACCGCTTCAATGTTTTATTCTATAATACCTCCGGATCAAAGACAACTGTCAAAATAAATGATTATACACCCGCATCAAAGACAACTGGCATATCCAGATCAAACACAACTGTCAACTTGACGTATAATAGAAAGGGCAATAGGGCAAAGACAACTGTCAAAATAAATTATTATACACCCACATCAAAGACAGCCGGCATACCCCGGATCAAACACAACTGTCAACTTGATCGATCGATAGGTCAAAGGGTCATCCCTAGATCAAAGGGACCTCCGGAACACACTCCGGAAGGTCAAAGGTTAGCCCCGCCCACCTGTCAATCATAGGGTCATAAATCATCTTGACAGAAGCCGTATGGTATATCTACTTTCAACGATTGGAAGATATCTTTGTTAGCCTATATTATGATAATTATAAGTCGAGAAGTAAGAACATAAATGATGCAAGACCAGCAATTTTATTTAATGTCAAATAGCAGTCGTCAGATAATTTTCCTGCCAGTATTTTGCCATACAAAAACCTCACCGTTTTACTGACCATTTCAAAATATGCATGACAATGTGAAATCTGATTATGTGTGTATGACATCATGAAGCATGCAGAGAAACTGCAATTACAATGTAACATTTTTGGTCAGCATAATAATGTATGAGACTTCAATGCAGCTAATATGTCAACCTGTGGTAAAATATCTGCATCATTGAAGTGACTGTTTTATTCACCTGATGAGTTATGTAACTAACATAAGACTAAAGTATTTATATTATTTAGATGGAATATTTTAATATAACTTGCATTATATTTGAATATATCTTTAACACAAGAATAAACCCAGAGTTGTGCTACCCCCTTCCCCTCCTCTCCCCACCCCTCCCCACCCCACCGCCCATGTGTCATTCAGTAGATGTAGAGCTTAATAGTTGTGACATGACTATTAAATTAAATTAAGTTTGAATAAACCACATGAGATGGATCTTGGACTATCTTCTGTATTAACACAATTGTATTTCATTATATAAAATAACTGAATAAAAAAGCTGTTCAACGTACACCGGAGTATCTTGCAAATTTACTGGAGAATCTATAATTTTTTTTTATTTATTCATATGGGTATTTTTTATTAAACGTGTCCTTGCTATTATTTAGCAGCACCTGCCAGTGTCCTATCACGTAAGAGGAGTTGTCGCGTGGTACATGTTACTTTTCTCACCGATTGTCGAGATGGCCCAATCACAGTGATTACTGGATACATCTCTCTCTCTCTCCCTCCCTCTCTCCCCCCCCCCCCTCTCTCTCTCTCCCTCTCCCTCTCCCTCTCTCTCTCTCTCTCTCTCTCTCTCTCTCTCTCTCTCTCAAAACAATTATGTCCCCATTAAGAATTCAGAGTAGGCCTACTAAATTGAGACTTTCTGTTTGAAATCTATTCGAGTGATGTTAAGATCCGTGGCTGTAAGCTTTTTTAAATGAAAATGTAAAATAATAATAAAATAAAGATTTCAATGAGAAAATATAATGCCCTCATCTGTGACAACCCTATTTTTTCATCTCAGATTAAGTGAGTTAATGTCAAACACAAAGAGTTCCATTGTGACACCCGACCTCACTACTGGGGTGAGCTGTAACAGGCTGGGGAGAGATGTTACTGAGAGGTCATTTGCTGAAATAGATCCACACACAATCTAAATTTATTCAAGAATGTCATTGAAGAACAAAGAATAATTGGTTTTGAAAAAAGTGAACAATTCAAAGTAACAAAAAAACAATGTATTGTATTTCTTTAAGGATTTAGCACAAAAACAATAGCTGTTTGTGTGGCTACTGTATTCCTGTCACATAACAGTTCTTGTCACTATGTTGCCATCCACCTAAAAAAAAACGCTAAAAAATGCGCACAAATAATCGTATGTGCTCAATTGAGCTGGATAATGTTTTATAAAAAGAAGTGCATAAACTATGATGGAAACATATTTAGGCTACCACATAAATCCCTCAATGTGAAACAAAAAAACGATTCATATTATCATAATTATCATAAGAGGTTGGTAACTTTTTTTAATTTTAGCATATTTGAAGTTAGCGTGAATGCAAAGCATCAAATTAAACTAGAGAAATAGCTAGATTATGCAAGTCAAATAGGGGTAGTAATACAATGATTGATATGGAATCTTTTTCTCTCCTGAAAATCAGTTTTTTTGGTTACAAAATCTACAATGTTGCTCACAGTCACATGCCACTTCTCCTGTGAGATCAAAAAGGTGATTCTATGATATTGATGACATCACCATAGATATCTTCTGACTTGTCAAACTGACAGTGTAACAACTCTCCCTCTCACAAGTTAAAAATCCATTAGGCCTATTGCACATTTAAAGTAATATAATCTGATTACTTTTGACCTAACTCGTTTGCCACATTGATTTGAGATGGATAATCGTGTACCATACTGATATAAAAAAATACAAAGAGAAAGAAGAACATAAAGTGCATTATTACGTTACGTCAGGGTTAGTTTGTGAGTTTAATAAAAAGCTAATAATTAAATAAATCATAAACATACAATAAAAAAAATTTTTTTTAATAAAAACAATCAAAATAAAATTATAAAATATAAATTAAACTATAAAATATTGTATTTGTTTACTTGCATGCCATGTGACCATTAACCAACATCAGGGAACCATAAACTTAATTTGTATTATTATTTATTATTGACCTAACTTGTTTAAAATCTCAGTGGGTACTTGAAGTAAATATATTAGGTCAAAGTGGTTCAGCTGACAACAAATTACACCAAAATGTAATGTGTTTGAAAGACAAGCCTTCCAAAGTAATACATTAAATTACTCACTGAGTGATAATTCAAATAATAAATAATGTGTGTTCGTCAGGAGTTGATATGCAATGTTTCAATGTCGAGAAAACGACATTTCTGATTTCTGTAAATCCACTGATCAAATGCTGTGCCCAGTAAACAGCAGATGGCGCTGGGCTTCTGTGACTCTGCATCCGCCAGTATCGCAAAGAAGAAGAACAACAAAGAAATCCTGAAAACACTCGTGGATGTTTATGTATACAGGTCAGCAAGACGCTTAAAATAATGCTTCATTTGAGCTTTGTACGGGCATGGAAATGTTAGTTTGGATGGTATGTATGACCCCACGAACACCTTGAACATCTATGATATTGGAAGAAAGAAGAAACCAATTGAACCAACGGACCTTGTTCCCATGAATATAATGTTTGACCTAAAGTGTGAAAGCTCGTCAGGTGAAGAGGAAGAGACGGAAGGAGGAGAGGCTAGTTTAACAGCACAAGTATCCAGGTGTGCGAATGTAACATCAGCGGATTTAGACGAATTAGAACACAACCGAAACGAATCTAGTACCGTAAAGCAAACAATATGGGCAGTGAACTGTTTTAAAGCCTGGCTCCGTGAAAAGCAGTTGACAATCGACTTAAAAACCGCGGAGAAGTCGGAGCTCAACCCGGTGCTGCGCGAGTTTTATGGCTCTATTCGGACGAGCAAAGGAGAGTTGTACGGGATCAGCAGTTACGTCGGGCTCCGGGCTGGGTTAAATCGGTTCATCAACGAGCCTCCCATCAACCGTGCGTGGAATCTGATGCAGGACACCGAGTTCAGGTCCGCCAACAATGTTTTTAAAGGGGTTGTTAAGCAGATGCGACGCTCCGGTAGGGATATAACAGCACATTATCCGCCGATTTCACCTGAAGACAAGCACATGCTGAAACATTCTGCTGCACTGGACCCTGGCAACCCAAAAGGCTTATTAAATAAGGTGTGGTATGACATCCAGTTACATTTTGGACTCAGGGGTAAGGAGGGCAACCGACACCTGCAGCCAGACGCGTTTGCTTTGAACCGAGACCAAAACGGTTTCAAATACTTCACCATGACATTAAACGAGGACACGAAGAACCCGCAGGAAAGGGACAAGAAAAAACGCAAGGCTATGTTTGAAGAGCCTGGCAATCCGCTGTGTCCTGTTGCCTCTCTGGAGAAATATCTCAGCAAAATTCCAGCCGACGCAAAAGCGCTTTATCTACAGCCCAAAAGGATGTATGTGATCAGCGATGAGATCTGGTACACTGCGGTTCCTTTGGGAGTCAATTACCTGTCCCAAATGCTGCCCAAAATTTGCAAAGAGGCCGGGACGAGAACGACCTACACCAATCACAGTCTGAGGGTCACTTCAATTCAAAGACTGACCGAAACGAGGGAGATCATGGCGGTATGTTTGCACAGGTATGTTTAGCCAAAGTATTGACGCAAAACGTTAAAGGCAGGGTAGGCGATATGTTCCAGAAACATTTTTTTGTTAAGCTGGTTGAAAGTCTCTTCACATCCTTATCGCAACCACTAAGTTAAGTGGTCTAAATGTATTTTCTGTGGAAGACGTATGACCATTAAAAAGTTAGTCCAATCTATATGATAGCCTGTCAACATGTATTTCCATACTTCCGCGCACCTTGCTCGCGCAGACATCACACTTTAACAGCGGGTTTCATGCTATGCAGAGTTAGACAGACGTCAGTCAGCGAGCACCACAACCAAAACAGTAGCCGCCTTTACAGTTCCTCCTGAACCAAAACAACGAGCTTATGCTGCGTTCACAAAACTACTGTAATTAGGAAGAGATGGAAACCCGTGACCTCATACTCGGAGCGGTCAGTGACTCAAATTTTTGCGTTTCAATGGCAACACTATCAACGCCGAAATGAATCTGCATCCGTCAGGTGGTACAGGTCAGAGCTCTTTAAGTTGTTTGTTTATGTTATGTGCTTTGAGACATGAGGTAGTTTAATGACGTCTCGTGACTAGGGATGTAACGATTCACTCAACTTGCGATGCGATTCACGATACGATTTTCTCACATTAAAGGCTCGTACACACCGGGACGAATATCAGTGCGCGTTATTCGCCAGCGTTTTTTTCAATGCGTTTTTTGTGTTCACACCCAATCGATTTTCGCTGACGATGAGCCGAGTGAACATGCCAATTCATTCCCTGACATTAGATGGCATTTAATGTAAAAAATAAATAGTCCTATGTTGTAGTCGCTGTCGCGTTTGTCATATAGTTCTTTATGTTCAGAGTCAGACACCAACGAGACCAGCAGCTCTAGATTCATCTTGCCTTGCATCTTCCTCGTCATATTTCTCCTCGGCAGTGTAGACGCTACTTGGCGTATATCTTCTTCGCCGTTGCGTATGTGTGCTCGGCAAGACCGTTTTGTGTTTGAGCGCCCCCAAGTTGTGTTTTACTGTAACTTCAGAAGCTCCAGACATGTGAGTAAAAGCGCCAATCTCATTGGTCGGATAGTTTTTCGGTGTGCACACTCACATTGGCGCCCTTTGTTTAGTCACGAGGCGTTAAACGTCGGCGAATATCGCGCGCGAAATTCGTCCCGGTGTGAACAGGCCTTAAGGTTTAGGACAAATTAAAAAATGAAGTGTCCTTTTATTTCTCAGACAAAATGCTGCGCATTTCTTAATAAATTTGAAATATATTTTATGTAATAATAACACTAAATTGACATTTTAAAACGAATCCCCAAAAAAGTCCCTCCAAGGAGATCTTCCAATGCTGTTTTCTCAGGAGGAGGTTGTTTCAGCTCTGTCTGTTTCAGGAGGAGGAGGGACACTGGCACCTTCTTCACCCTCATCCTGCACAGAGGAATAGCAGAAATAAAGACTATAAAATCCCTACTAGTGACACTTTGCAGAATCTGCTGTATTCGTGCGTTCATGTGTTTTGAAGGACAAGTGGCTTTGGGATCTCATACTTTCAAAGCTAACTTGCTATTGCTAGCCACTCCAAAAATTGCATACCCTACCTTTAAAATTTCAAACAGAAGTTGGCCATTTCCAGGTTCCAAACTGTCACCAAATTTATATGTAAAGAATGGTTATATTTCGTATAACAAAGTTGGACCTTGAATGTCTCACTCTCCTGTTCTGTCTAGCTTTGGAATTATACAATTTGTTTATAAACTCTGTTGTTTAAAAGCAAAATCACATTCACAATTGTGCTTGTATACTGAAGGTGCCTTCACGCCATGTCGTAATTAACAGTAAAAGCCTTCTTAGCCTCGTAGAGCTTGTAATTACAATTTGTAAGCTGGGAATTTTCTGAGAGGTCCTACTTGTACCATGTGACTGCTGTACCACCTGACCACTGCAGATTAATTTCGGTGTAATAGAAACGCGTCATTTCAAGTCCGAGGACGTGAACTGCTCTGAGTAGAACGTTAACGTGTTGTCATCTCAAAATTACAGTAATTAAGGCATGAATATCAGAGTAAATCTTAAAAATGCTATTTAAATTGTTTTCAAAAGAAAAACATTTGTTTGTAAAACATTCTTTAGTAACTGGCTTTCAGAAATACCCTTGATGTTTACTAGATATGAAACGTTTTAGTTGTTTTAGTTTTGTTGTAATATTGCACTGCACACATCAATAACAGCTTAAACTTGTCAATGCTGGCAAATGATAAGCGGGATAATCCACGGCTGGCTGTGCATTAAACGATTTAAATGCACTCTGCTTCTCGTCAGGTGGTCTCCATTTCGTGCATTAAGTAAGGGATAATCCACGGCTAGCCATGCATTCATATAGTTTAATGGACAGACAGTTAGACATGGATTACCCCTTACTTAACTAATAACTAATCACATACAGCCGTTGGATAAAAACCATGATGAAATAAAGTAAATCAAAGCTAAATAGAAATATATTATACACACTCATCAGCCACTTCGTACACCTTTGCTAGTACCGGGTCGAACACATTGTCATGTTCAAGAAACCAGTTTGAGAAGATTTGAGCTTTGTGACATGGCGTGTTTATCCTGCTGGAAGTAGCCATCATCAGAAGATTAGTCCTCTGTGGTCATGTGCATGTGTATTACATGTTCAGTCTATAGGCGCGTAGTGTTTCTTTACCAAGTGACATCGCCAACTACTGGACTGGCAGCAGAATACATCGTTTTTAGTCATTTTCGTGGATCAGGGGATTGTTTTGACAAGGTTGTCGTCTGTACGTTTTTAGTACATCGCTGTCGTGTAAACATAACCTAAAGGTGATGAGACACAGGGCAACTTTTTTGAGCAATGTTGCCGTCAACGGGCAACCAGATGAGACACAGGGCCCACGACCGATCTAAATTATCTAGATAGAAATTTATTGCCCATTTTCAATGGGAAAGTGCCCAAGCAACAATTGCCCAGCAAGATTGCCCAGCAACATTGCTCAAAAAGTTGTTCTTTGTATCATCACCTTAAGATGTGTAGACTCTATAAGTGTGAGGAATTATTTATTACACCATATAACATTGAGTTATTCAAAGTTTTGTAAAACTTTTTTTGTTTTGTAAGACCAATCGTATATTCAGAGGTTACATTTCTTTACATTTAGAAACTGTCACATGAATGTTGGAAGCATATTGTCATCTTGAAAGTCCTTATTAGTCTTCATTGACTCAAATACTGTTTTGTAATATGGTATATATGAAATATCTGTGAATATCAGCAATGTAAATTAACAAGTAGTGTTTTAAGTAGGATAGGATTCAAATAATTTGAAAAGTGTAATTATGAGAGTGTTGTTTGATATTGTTCTCTTGCAGCGTTCCGGTTGAGATTAACACTCAGTGGCAGCAGGAATCTGCTCCGTTTTCCCCCAGCAGTGAGCTTGACTCCAGCTCAGCCAAACAGGAGAGTCCCGTGAGCAGCCACAGCTGGGTGAAACAGGAACCGGAGCCTGAAGTAGTCCAGTGGGAAAATATGAACTCGGAGGCCGCCACTGGTGCAGAGCAGGACAAATCTCTGAGCAGTGCTGTTGCTGGTATGATATTTTTTTTTTTTTTTTGAGAATCCATATCAATGAGCCCTTTAGCATCTCCACATTTCAATTATGGGACGTAGATTGAGTGAAAATACATGACTCTTTTTCTCAGCAGCGGACCCGAACCCGATGGAGGATTTACCCAGCGGTGTTAGGCTGACCATCACCAAACTTCAGTGTCTGCTGGAGAGCAAACAGGAGAGGATTGAAGCTCTGGAGAGACAGGTGCAGGACCTACAGGAGGATCGCAGGTTCCTCCGCTCTCAGATCGAGAACCTCACCGGCGCTCGCTTGGTTCCGGTGCCTGAAGGTGTGGTGGAAAGATGAGAAAAAAATCAAGATTTGGCCTTGTTCAAAACACTTTGCTCAAGAATGAAGAGAACTGCATTATAATAGATATGATATATGATAGATAATATATATATAATTTAATATTTTAAATTTCATGACATTGCATTTGGTTATAATTACTTTGTCACAGTATAGCATTTTACCACACACAAAATTACAAAAAAAGTATAACCAACATGACATGCAGTTTTCTTTAATGATCTACAAAACATTAAAATAATGTTCTTGCTAAATATAGCAAGTCAACAAATAACTGTAGTGTCTTTTTGACTGTCACTGTTCACATTAAGATTCCAGACTTCACTTTTTTAAATCTAAGATTTCACATAGTCATTTCATGTAAATGTATTTTCAGCTCAAATGATGAATGAATGAATTTTGCAGTTGATGTTCTATTTCCTGTTACACTTGCACTGGCTCATGTTCTCTTGTTTACTACCATTCTGGGTTCCTACAGCGAGCACGTCAGTGTTCTCAGCGCCCAGGTCACGTAAACGGCGGCGGAAGAGCTCGTCCAGCTCGTATGCCACTGATGAATCCAGCAGCTCCTCTTCATCTGAAGAGTCCAGCAGCGTCAGGAAAAAGAGACGCCACAAGAAGAAAGGGAAGAGAGGTACATGACAAGTTGCACTTTTACAGTAACTTGGCAAATGTTCTTCCAGTGTCATTTTTTTTTATATCTAGAATCTGGATTGTTCATAAATTCACCTTAGCCGTTAAGGTCCATTATGTTTGCACTATAGAGAGCATACATTTTTCTGTTTTTGCAGCGTTTTTTTATTTTTTTTTAAGTAATGTAGCCAATCCCAAACATATATGTTGATTTTTGTGAACGCAATGTAGGGCCCTATGAAATCCGTTTTATTTTTTCCCAAATTCCGTTTTATTTTTTCCCAAATTCCGTTTTTTCCGTTTAAATTTTTGGGAATTCATTTTTTTTTACCCTTTACTGTTATTTTAGTCATAAAAAGAGTGTGCTTTTAAAGTTAATGATTAAAATGTATACAAATAAAATAGGAATGACCTTAAATTACAGACATTTACTCAGTAGCCTTTTCAGGACAAATACTGCATGATGCAACATGACACTGCACTCTTCAAGTAACAACAAAATATGGTTATGAGCTTTAAACTGTCCAGTAAAATAAATTATATTAGTTTAAATAAAAGTCACACTCTGTCTCTCTCTCGCCCAGTGTCGCTCGCGGAGTTCGCTTCGCTTTTGTCCAGTCCGGCGCCTCATAGACAGACGCGGTGTGTGTGTGTGTGTGTGTGTGTGTGTGTGTGCGCGTGTGTGTATGTGAGAGAGACGCGTGAGTGTTAGAGAGACGAAACGGAATATGTGGCGGCCGGAGTTGATTTTGTGGCCGCGAATTAGTCTATGTGTGGGAAACACTGCATAAAAGTCACGTGCAAACTGCTCGGCTCGGTACTGAGGGCTTATAGCGTCGAGTTTCTTAACTTTTTCGCCGACGAAAGCAGAGTCGTGGAGAGCCGCTTCGCCATGCTTTCATTGTTTTGATGCCGTCATTGGAGCTGAAATGACGGGAGGGGTTGTGTCGCCCAGATTTGCTTCCCCCGGTCTGCATTTTCACCAGACATACGTTCTTCTCCCACACAAAAACAGAATTTCAATCCAAATATGTAAAATTCCACAAAATTCCGCGTTAACACTAGATTCCGCGTTAATTTGCCAATTCCGTAATTCCGTCCGCGATTCCGTAATCGCGGAAATCATAGGGCCCTAGCAATGGCCAATCAGAGGTGATTAAGTCAGAATCCACTCACCAGTCAAAACACCAGAGTTTTTGTTCAGTGCTGAGTTCTGCGCCCTCACGATTCCTCTCACTATTACAAATGTAGTATAGAGGCGATGTAAATAAATGACTCATTATGTAGTGTAGACAGCTTTATTGATTAATTAGTGACAGCTTTTTTTGGGATGTATAAATCACGCATGCAGTAGCCTATGCTTGCTTTTCTGTTAAAATTAAGTTGTTTGTGATGTTTTAATAACAAATAATTTATCGGGAGCGTCTGTTGAGTTGTGGCTAGGCGACACGTTTAACTATTATAGTATAATATAGTATATAGTATAACTATTTTACTGAAGTTTTATGAAAGTACTGAAATAATCGATGTATACTTTTACTTGCGGGTGGGAGCGGGACAAACATGAATGTTGCGGGTGGGAGCAGGAGAAAGTGAAGAAATTTTGCGGGACGGTACCACGCAGGCCTCTGTTAGAGTGCTTTTTTAATCCGATTTAAGTAGGACTTAATTGTATGTCATGTATTTAAAGCTGCAGTCAGTAACTTTTTTGTTTAAAATTTACAAAATGTATACAGGGTTCGTACAAGGTGCTTAAAGTGCTTGAAGTACTTGAATTTGACTTTTTGAAATTTAAGTCCTGGAAAACCCTTGAAAACAGCCATATTTTTGAAGAGGTACTTAAAAAGTGCTTGAATTATACCGAGCTCATGTAGTTCGTAAAAATGCTCCGATACCAATTACCGATAGATAGGCCTACCAGGCAGCGTGTGTATAGTAACGCATAGCTGTGGTGCGCGAGCTGATCATCAGAGAAAACCGCGCGCGCAGTGGATTGAGCGCGCAGCAGCAGACACGCGAGCTGGTCGAGCACATCTCTTTAAACAGACATCAGTGGAAGGTTTGTAGTTTAGTCGGATGTCAATGGCAAATAAAATAAAACAAGCATGTACTAGCTTATTATTAACGTTAACTGACGAGAGACAGCGCGGTTCTGTTGAATGCTCTTGATTGCTAAATTGTTCACTCAGCACGTGTTATTTGAATGACAACTAAATCAAGTAAAGTAAAACATGACCTGTTACCTGATTTATGTATAACGAGTGATTCCCTACATTATTACTGGACCTTTGCAGTCAATAAGTTTCATGAACGCAAACATCCAAAGCGCGCACCCGGAAACCAGCGTTTCAGCGCGCGGATCCTGAATTGAATTGTCTTTCACGTCTTGTGCTTGTGCGGAGGAATTCACACAAAATGATGTAAAAATGTCCATATTTGCGAGTATCCTAGTAAACAAAGTCAGGTATATCAAGTGAACGTAGCCATGCGGTCCGTGCGATCGGTCTTAAAGGGGCAGCACTTCAATAAACCCACTGCTGTTTTAATGTTAATCAAACAATGAATGGAAAAATTACTCACTGCTCTTGACTAAATAGTCTACCCTTTTCAACTTTCAAAAAGATCCATCTATATTTAATTTATACAGTAATTTGTAGCCTTTCTTTGTTCTGTTGTATTTATTTGTAAGTTGATTATTCGTTCTTATTTTGTTGCTGACTGCTTAGCTTTTAATAATGTTTTAAATTCACATTAATTAGGCTGGCAGTTTTTATTGTATCAAAATTGGATTCAATAATTTATATTTCACTGGTGTCTAAACATTTGTACCACTGACCCAATTCTCAGCACTGACATTTCTGGAGCTGCTCTAGTCTAAATATGTGCTGTGCTATTCAATGAAATATAAAATATGATAGAGCAGTAGAATGTACAGTAACAAAAGCTCATACAATGCATTTTAGCAGGCTTATTTAAGCATGCAAATAATTGAAAGAAATATATATTTGATGAACAAATTAAGCCAACTAATATGATTATTACTAATACATTTAAAAATTACAAATGCAGTGAAAATTCAGGGATCGGTTACAGTATCGGTATCTCGTTCTGCAAAAAGTGGTATCGGTCCATCCCTAATTCAAAATATTGTGATTTTTTTTGTTGTTGTTGAAAAAATACAATTGTTTCACGCTAAATCAACGCTGCAGCCCGTCTGCGATATAGAGCTATTTCTCTATATCTCGGGGGGGGGGGGGGGGGCATTGAATATCCTTTCAATGGTTAAGGCGATTTCCCATGCCTGACAGCGCTGGTCAATGGATTCACATCTCTGAATTGAAACATCAATAAGTACAAATAATAATCAAGATATTGTTTGATAAGTGCCGATTGAAGTCCTTGAAATCAAAAAAAGTAGTGCTTGAAAAGTCCTTGAAAGTCCTGGAATTTCATTTGACAGAGTCTGTATGAACCCTGTGTATATAATAAGCGAGTATTATATCATGAATCCATTTTTAAAACTGTGTTTTTGTCTTATCTGAATCACTACAGTACACCTATAGTAAGTGTTTATATTGGGACTATTTTAGATTGGTTCGGGTCGTACCACAGCGGAGTAGCCCGCATGACTCGTCATAGACATCAACGGAGAGAAGAGGCTCTGGCTACAATGTTCTTCCGCAAGACGCATGCAGTTCTGCTTATTTACTGTTAGAGCGCCAAAAGTTACGGACTGCAGCTTTATATTTGTAATTACACATTTATTAGCATGTTAAAAATATGTTAATTTTAAATGTAATGTCAAATAACAAACTACAAATTATAATCAAGTACTATACATGCGATTTAGTATGTTAGTCAACACATCAAAATAAGTGTATTTTGTGTGTACACTTCAAAGATTAGTAAAATATAATGATTTAAAAAAAAAAAAAGTATACTCATAAAAGTGTACACTTAAGTGACCCTTTATTTCATTATTATACCACGGCCTGTTTAAATACTCGATTCTGATTGGCTGGAAGGTGTGCAGTAAAGCCGTTTAATGCACAGGTAGTTCCAGTCAGTTTGATTACAGTTCGAAATTAATCCGCTACGATAAACTTTGGTAAACAGAGTTACACTTGCAAAAGAGTGTGAGAGAGAGACACATATGAAAACGTTAGGTAGGCTCAGAGCCATAGAGAGGAAGAGTTGCAACGCTCTTTGATCGCTCGCGATGGCTGTCACGTGGTTCATGTAAGCCCCAATAGTTCCAAAACATACTCGGGCTGTCATGTTCTTCTATGGGACAGACAGCAGCGATTGCATTATTGACCGGTAAATATAAAATAAAACACACACCCAATGTCATTTATGCATTTGGAGAGGCAGGGTGACAACGAAATAGCCTATTACTGTATATTACTTAGATATGTTTTAGGCTTTTTTTTTTTTTTAAGGAAAAGACAGAGCTAGATAAGATCGAAGACGACAAAGATGAGGTCAATACGAAAAAGACAACTAAATGGGCAGTTAACACTTTCAGTCACTTGTTGCGCCAAAGACAGAACAATTGTGATTTCGAGACCTACTCTGCTTTTTTTTTAAATGAGACATTTCAGGAGTTTTATGCCTCTGTTCAGTCTACTGCTGGACGCGAATACAGTGTTGCAAGTTTGATGCGTCTCAGAGCAGGTATAAACCGTCACATTACAAAATACAACATCATAAGGGATAAAGACTTCAAGTCAAGCAATGCCGTCTTTAAATCAGTTTTAAAGCGCTACAGGAAAAATGGAAAAGACACCAGCGTTCATCATCCGCGTAAGAAAAGTTTGGTTTGACATACAGCTAATTCATTTAAATAAATGACATGATTAGTTCAAATAAAGCTTGCCTTGTCACTGTCAGTGTTGCCTATCATTCATAAATAATTTTAATAAATCCATGAATCATGAAGTTAGCTATAGGCCTATGCTTAAGCAACGAGGGGACTGTAGACTTTAAAGAAGAGACGCTCATAGGTAACTCGCGCACGCATCTCTCTCTCTCTCTTTCTTCTCTTTCAGTTCTCTGTCTCTCTCTTTTAATAATGAATTTAAATAAATGTGATAATTCATTCAAATAAAAGCAATCCGATGGCTCTACTTTATTTAAAGCGGACGGAGTTCCAGAACTAACGAGCCGTAACTTAAGAAAATAACCATCATTTTTACACGTCTGTTAAAAAATTACATTGTAAACATCAGTTACAGCTTTAACTTCTTATTAACTTGGCAAATAACCGAGGTATAAGCGGGAATCATCCACGGCTAGCCATGCATTAAAGGATTTTAATACATGGCTAGCCGTGGATTATCCCTTACATATTATATTATCTGCAATGACAGTTTTTATTTTTAAATATAGCCTACTACAAAATATGTACACTACAAGTGTACTTCACTTTATCCACAAGGGATGGCATTTATCGAAGTTCGGGTTTTAACAGTAAATGCATGTAATAGTGAACATTTGTTAAAACAAAAGGTTGCTTCAACTATTTCAAGGTGAAATGAGTAATATTAGTTAACTACATGTACTTACTATAGGGCTTGGACTAGGGTTTTTGTTTAGGTTTAGTTGCATGTAACTATGCATAATTCATAGTTATTACCATAGTAACTGCATGTAACATTTTAACAAAAGGTCAAATTTGATTTGAGCTGTATTTCAATTTCTTCTCAACAGTGTATGTTTCCCAGTGTGACTAGGTCTTGATCTGCCTTCATCAAGAAGAAGAGTATGAGTTGGGCTTTTCCGTCCGTCCGTCCGGGACAATTTTTACGAGTGAGCCTCCATGTGCCCAGGAGTACAGTGGGCTATACTGTAAAAGGACCTTATTTGGGCCCTCCATCTTCTGGCCTGGGACAGCGCTGTCCCCATCCCGACCCTCGTGGCAGAACTGCTGCTGGTTTCTAACAGGTCTGTTCCTCTGGTGGGTCAGGCCTTGTGAGGAAACACCCTCAGCGTCTCTGCAGAGCTGTTCAGTTTGTAATTCTACAACCCGGAAAGGACTCAAGATTTCTGAGCCTTGATCTAGTGGGTTTTGATTTATGAGTACATTTGCTTTTAAAATGCAAGTTGCTATTAGTAACATAGTAACTCACATTCTTCTTATGCTACTCTGAAAACCATTAGGATAACCCTAAGATAACCTAAGTCTTCCGGGTCGGCCTACGACATCACAACTGAACAGCTGTTTTGTGATGACGAAGCCCTCAGAAGAAGGATGGAGCGGATGAAGGCTTCTACCTAGGACTGCTGAACAAACGAGCATTCTCCGTGTTTGGACACTAGAGGGCGCTCTGAGACTATTGCAAAGTGAAAATGAGAGGCTCTGGAGCCTGGAAGGAAATAAAAGTAGTGGGTGACATTAAAACATGTGTTATGCATAATCACTAGTTGTATCATATGAATTACCGTGCGTACGTCTCATAGATTATCCAGTCCACTCGGGCACAGATTTGGTGTGTATGTAAGCATTGCTTGCATATTGTGTCCGTTATTTGTTTTCTTCTTCACATAAACTCTGGCAAGGTTGTATTCTCTAACAATTCCATCACATGTTCCTTTATGTCAGGGTAATTTAAATCTGGCCCTCGTGGTCCACTGTCCTGCAGAGTTTAGCTCCAACCCGAATCAAACACACCTGATCAGTACCTGCAGGATTACTACAACATTGCAGGCTTGTGAGTGATCATAGATCAGGTTTGGAGCTGATCTATCTATGCTCTATGATCACTGCTTGTGGTTTATTTTCATTCTACGGTTTTGAAATGTCTGCAGTTGTTTTACAATTAAAGGTGCTGCAAGTGATTTTTAGCCATTGTGCTCTCTTAAACCAGGGATATTTGAACAATTTTGATGTCGCTGACCTTTAAATATGTTCTCCTTTCCTTCCTAATTGTGTATATATTTAAATGTTTAAAGAACCATTTATACAGTAGAATACTGTTAGAAATGTGTACAATATTATCTGGAAAATATATAACTTGAGGAGAAACAAAATAAAGCAAAGATATAGGACACCCCAGTTTGAAACCTCCAACTGAAACCACATGCTCTCTATAACACAACCTCCAAAAAATGTTTCAACTTAATGTCTAACACCAAATGCCCAAAATAACTGACAGGAAGAAAGGTTATTTGATTGCAGAAAAGGGACATTTTATGCAAATAAAGTAGTCTTCACTCATACCTTTGCATACCTTTAAATTCTTTTTTATTTTGAGCTGTTGCTCTTGTTACTTATTTCAAGTACACACATATAGAACTCATATAAAGATATTGCTTTGTCTATGTGCCTATTTTCTTATTTCCCCCATCTACTACAAGAGACTACTATACACTCTTATTTTGTCATTGATTTCTGGCTATCTGGAAGTATGTCCGTCCAGAGAGTTTTAATTTTTTTCTTGCTTGCAAAAAGGCACGTGCGACTGAGGTCACATGTTGCAAATATCAGATACTAAATCTTTAGAGAAGTATTGCATATCCTGTTACCGACCCGGTCATACTTAAAGATGAACCACTTTTTTTGCCCTTGAACAGTTCGTTTTGACCATAGACAGTAAAAGAGGTTTTGACGACGCTGGAAGGGACGTCCGACTCATTTCAGCGAATCGGTTCATATGAACAGTTCGTTTCAAAGAACCTGACAGTTCGGAGATTCTTTTTACGTAATTACGTCATCCTGTGTTACACACAGCTGTTTATTATGGTCTTGAATATATACGATTTGATATCATTTCATGCGTTTGTTTAAGCCACGATTAAGATCGAAAACAGTAATTTAGAACCTCTCCAAATCGGGCAGTAAGTTTGACCTGGTCAAATTCTTGATTCACTCATGTTGTCAGCTCACTACGGTTCTTGTTCAAATGAGTCAGTTGAGCGGTTGACTCGAGATCCGCGCGGATTCAGTCAGACTCCAATTCGTGAAAGAAGCGTTCAGTCGGGGAACCCGTGCAACTACCGGTGATTCCTTGAAAGGATCCAGCTAAAACAATCATTCACGAATAAGTAATCGTCCCTTAATAGTTTTAGGTATTTGACATGATTCTCTGAATTAAAACACATCTTTATATGTTGTTGTTGGTGGTGGACAAAACATGTCTAGGTGGTGTAACCGTTGTTCAATTATAAATAAGAGAAAGTCTTTAGCACAAGCTTGAGATCCTTGAAAAACAAGGTATGAAGCAGTTTATAAGTATTGTTTCTATGAAAATGTGCAGTGAAGCTGTTCTGTGTGGAGTAACCAGAGCCCCTCCCCCATCCCTGGTGTAACCGGCGACATGAAGGAAGCCGTTCTGCTGTCATGTGACCGTGAAACAGGAAATGGTGTGACTGAGAGGAACACTGCAAATCCTCATGGCTGTGTGTCAAGGTTAGTATGTCTTTCAAAATAGCAGATCATTTGATCTTTCTATGACATGGCAAGTTTGTTGAGGTTCACATATAAATGGAAATGTCTTTTGTAGGGTCATAATTCAAAAATCCTTTTTATTCAGAAAAATATGGAAACTAAAATGTCAAATGGTGTAACCTGTCACCCCATTTGACTCTCACGGATATATCTAGCACACAAACTATGGTGATTTATTGATGCAGAATATGTAGCCTAAAGGTATGTCCCATTTATATTCTTACCTTAAAATATAATTACAAATAATAAAAACATAATTATTGTATTGTAACACAAAGTGTTTTTTCTTCTTCTATTTGTAGATGCCACTATCAAACAATGAGAAATCAGCTCGACACAGAGCGAAGGTGAATGCTGATCCTGTTGCCAGGGCCAGATACCTTGCAAAAAGAAGAGAGAGGTGTTTGAATTTTATTCCACAGCGAATTATAAATTATAAATGGCAAACAATTCACTTATTCAAATAACCTTGATCTTATCCTAAGTTGTACTATTATATATTACCATAAACAATAGTAATGTATATTATGCAAATATGAAATTATTACATTTTAGTATGCAATACTTAATGTCTTTTTATTTGAAAATTCTTAGTTATCAACGAAGAAAGACAGAGGGAAAGACGAAACATCCTGCAGTAGCTGAACTCTCTAATGAAAGACAGGCAGAATTGAGGAACAAATGGAGACAGTACCAGAGAAGCCACAGACACAAGATTCGTAGTTTACCTCTGCAATCCGGGTATGTTCCTTCAATTGTTACAAAACTGAATATGGCAGTAACCATTATTTTGTATCATTTTCATGTCTTTCTAGTATTAATACAATAATAATAGTAACAATAATAATTATAATTTTAAATACACTTGTAGCGCCCCCTACCTGTCTTTCTTGTAACTAAGTAGGACAGCGCTCCAGATTCCTGAAATAAATGCCTACCGATGTTGAAGTTAGGCCCCTCTGATGTCACTAACTGAATTAATTATCCTGAATGAAAGTTATAATAAAACTCTATACTCAATTATGTTTAAACACTCTGGTATTAACTCTTTTTGAAGGAATAAAAACTCTTTGAAAGTAACAAAATGTGAAGAATTTAATTTGTATAAAATAAAATGAGAGTTAAAGTTGTTTATAAACAAAGTACCAGTATGTAAATAATTCAAAATCACCAATAGACACAATATCACACCGAATAGGCAATATATTAAGTGTCTAAATTAATGAATGTGTATGTCACACATTCACTAAAGATGAAAAGGACAAACATCACAGTTTTTAAGTTCACTGAATAACAACATATGAATAGTAAACAAAACACTGTGGGCCCACACACACACACACAACAATTAGTCCCCACACACCGTTGCAGGCCTGAGACGTTGCTGGGGTACGTGGTGGCCTTTGAAACAACAAAACTGGCCGCTTCACTCTCCTGAGCGGGGGAAAAACAATATTACACAGGTACCTGAATTCAGTTTGGAACCATAAGTGACTCAGCTGCACTTGAAGAAAACACAGGAAATCTTCCTCTGGTCGTTGCTGTGGGCTCTCTGAATAAGAGCAAACGACTCCTCTGCACAGTAGTAGGCCTCGGGATATCGTCCTCCGTTGCGCGGCTGCGCTCACTCTGAAGACGGGCCACCGACTCCTGTCGCGGCCGGCAAACTCCCGATTCTCCCGTTAAAACGGAGCACTACGTGGTCCTCACAAAAATCAACAAATAACACCTAAAGTAAGTAACTTCAGTCTTTGAGTCTGTCACCAGTTACCGTTCAAATAACTTGAAACACTGTCCGTATAGGCGATCTGTATCACAAACGAAACAAAAACACCCCGCGATGTTGAGCTAACATACACGGAGAACTCAGTTACAAAACAAAATAACCCTTATACTCAAATTTGTGTGACTTACACACGTTACTATGGACAATTAGGGTTTTAATCAGATGGATTATCGATTAAACAGCTTTTTGTTACCGCAATCTCTCAGTCTCTTTCCGAATCGGCCGCACTTGACAATATCTTCTCTCCTCTCCCTCACTCTTCTCGCGCTTGTCAAAAAAAACTCTCATCTCCCGAACAACCACTCACATTACACAAAACACCAGTGAGGGCGGGACTTAATTCACATAACCCAATAAAATAATCAAACACCTAACTTGATGGTTAAAGCCACGTTTTCCACATGTACACCTCAATCAAACTTGTATCTCATGCACGCGCGCTCTTAAAGGAACAAATACCGTATACTCACAAACAAAGATGAATGGTTAATTCACATTTTATCTCTTAATTAAACATAAATACAAGCTAATAAATTGAGGTAACTTATTAACAACATACTTATAACCTACTGGGTTACACACTTTTTTGTAATCCTGTTGTAATTACAAAAAAAAAAAAAAAAATGGATTAGGACATGATAGAAGCTGCACGCACACAACCATAGGCGTCATTTACGGGGGGGACGGGTGGGACATGTCCCCACCACTTTTTGCCAGGGTCGATATTGTCCCCACCACTTTTGAAACATCTCGCGGCACGGATGTACCAATACAAATAAAACATCTCCAGTTAACTAGCAGCATTTGTTTCATTCATTTGTTAAATAAGAGGCGATATAGCGCTGAAATGTGTTGTCTTCACTCGGACGCGCGCTTCAATCCGTTGCAGAGATAATATTCGTTCCGGTGAAAGCACAAATCAAAAATGCACACAAACGTGTCCCTGCTTCTCTGGTTCTAATCCGCACTCGTATAGTTTTTTTCCCCTCATCAAAACCGATAATGTTTATCAGTGATAAAGTATATCAAGATTCTTGATATACAACCACTGATAAACATTATCGGTTTTGATGAGGGGGGAAAAACTATAGGCTACGCTTGGCAAAAATTCTGCCACTGGACCATTACAGTATAGGCTATAGGCTACGCAATAGAGGCGGATCTATGTATTTATTCACGTAAAAATACTAACAACATGTATTAGATCTCATTGTACGACCAATTAAACCCAAAGTAGGCCTACCATCACATTTTTGGTCGGACATCATCACATCTTATAGGCTACATTTTTATCTATTTACATCAGTAAGCTACAGGACATCGTCTTTCAAAACATGACCTGCGCGAAAGAGAAAAAATAATTGAATTATGCGCGCGTTTCCATTACAGATTTGCACAAACTTTTGCGATTTTTTCTAAATGTCGATAAAAACTATTGCGAAATGACGGCGTTTCCATTAACTGATGTTATGCGACTACAACATCCTTTTTTTCCCTCTCGCGATAAGTCATTTAAACATCAACGGGTAGGTTTATAGCCTATCACAGCCACCACACTAGACATTATTATTATTAATGGAAGGAGACGTGGTGTGTTATCCAAACAATAATGGCAGGGAAAGACCCATAGCCTACTGCGAACGGCATAGGAGTTTCTGGGTGTTTCTCCCTCATTTCTGCTCCGAGGTCTGATTGTGGCATTTCTTTGAGGTTTAGAATCCAGTATTCCTGTAGCCTATTGTTTATTTTATGAATTTAATAAAGAACTCTGTCCAAACGGTTAGTGTACGTTTGTGTCCATTCGTTTTTCCTTATTTAACCCAAACGAAAATGAACGGTGGTTGTTTTTTAAAAATGCAAAGTTGAACACCATTTTTTTTTTAATTTGAACTGTACACAAATGCTGCGAATAAAAAAAAAATAGACTAAATTTCAGATGTTTGTTTATGACTTTTTGCCCCTTTATTAAACATTTAAAATATTCACAACTTAATACAAAAAAAATGTAGATTTTAATGGTTTTCTAAGGCCAAATTAGAACCTGAAAATTATATTTTTCCCGCAGTGCTGAATGAGAAGAGCCATAATTATTTTAGGCCTATGTCTCTGGAACCACAGCCTACAGAAAGGTGATTTAGGTGAGTTATAAGCTAATGATAATAAATGTCTGAAAAAATAACGAGGCATTTTAATTTTATTAATAAACTATTGTTTTCTAAATTAGTGTCGGCTAAAAACATATCTCCATCTCCGCTGCGGCGCGCCGCGCGAATGCACCTTTAGAGAGAAATGCACCTTTACGGATTACATTATCAGAAGGTATTAGCTTTCGATTCGAATTTGTTCGTTTTAAAGTGGACATTTCATGCTTTACCTTACATAGTAGCGCTACAGTTCACGGAGATCATGAAAGCGCGCATGATTGTTTTATTTTATTTTACAAAAGCACAACGTTTTCTTGTTATTGTGAGTTTACACAAATAAAAGCATAGTTGCGAATAATGTATTATTATTTTCTGTATGACCAGAAATTATAGAGTATTTTAAGTTGTTTCCACTGTTGATAGGAAAACGCAAGTGTTCGCGCCCGCGTCTCCCTCCCTGCAGCGCGCTCACACTACGCACAAACACTTGGATATGCGTCAAAATCTTGTGTTTATTGTGATAATCTTAGCCCTGTATTATTATTGTCTAACCATTATGAATGACATTTGACGAATTGCTTTATTCCTTTTTTGGATAAAAGCATCTTCTAAATATGTAGCCTAATAAATGTTATAATAATGATAATTATTAGCCTATTATTATTTGCGTATACCAAGGACCCCAAACACACCGCGTCTTCTAAGTCAGGTGACTGTAAATGCGCAAAAACTGTTTCCATTGCAGTTTTGCGAAATATTCCTTTTTCGAATTGCCTGAAAATTGACGTGTTTCCATTGAGCGTAATTTCAATTCGCAATTTCAATTTGCGCAATTTGAAGGGTAATGGAAACGCGGGTACCCAGCACTTTTGAAAATGCCCTTCCGAATGCGTCTCTGTCCCCCCCACATTTCAAACCAAACTGACGCCCATGCACACAACCACAGTTGTCGTGAATATTCTCATTATCCACTGTGTCATGGATGTTTATTATTAGTAATGTAAGAAAATAACATGTAACCACTTAACAAAATGAGTTTTTAAAGATTTGTTCGTCATCTTGAAAATCCTTGAATAGTAATTTGTAAACATAAATGGATATAATGAAATTCAACACGCTGTATACACAACCCATTGTACTTTCTCTTTCTGTTTTTTATTTTACTACATGCATATATGAATCATGCACAAAAATATCAGTATAGAGGGTATGCACTGATGTCACTTTCCCGCCGGGACACGTCCCCTCAGCCGGACTGAGTGGCAGAAGAGCTGCTGTGTGACTGGATTTAATAGTGGAAACTGCGAAAACGATTATCAGTTTAAACTAAAGGTTGGACTCGATATAGTGTTCCTTTCAACTTACCAAAGATCCAGTGATCCATGGATATTGAAATGCAGCCAGGAATCGTGTTTCCTGACATTTATATGTCCCTGATTTCGATGCCAGGGAAATACATACAGCAAATCTGCCTGTGAACGCTTTCTATAAATACAATATAGGTAGGTCTAAATCCGGGCGATCACTTATATCAATGTTATATATCATCATATGGTCCAACCCTAAAACTTGTATAGTTTTTTGTCAGTGTTTATTTAAAAATGTCAAATTATGCAGTATATACAGTGGTAAATATTTTATTGATGAGTTGTCAATACAATATATAACAATAAAATATATAGGGTATGATTTTACCACTAAATTCAGCATATTGACACAAAAATGATAACTGCAAATCCACCTTTCGCTGCCTGGAGTCCAGTTGTTTCTATGAATTGCAGCGATCCATTTGCTTCTCTGTTCTGTAGCTTTCGGCAGTCTGTAAAAATATACCTCAGATTTCTGTCAAATCTAGTTTTACGGTCAGTCTCAAAGCTCTTTCCCGTTTTAGACGTGTTTTGTGTGTTTTTCGCGGCGTTCACGCTGAAAACCAATGCTGTTGCTCAGTCTTTTTGCCACCCAGTTGGCGTAACCGCAGTCACTCCGGCCAACGGTGACGTCACGTGCACACCCTCTATTTAGGAAGTACACAGAGTCAGTGTTGATTAAATAATCATTTTAAAAGTACACTATGTAACTTATTTCATGGGAAATTGCGTACATACGTCACTCGCTCGTGCATGTCTTGTCATATCTGAAAGTAGAGACATTTTGCCTTGGCTACTTGTGTGTTGTGGGAGTGGCATAGGTTAGTTAGTATAAATGAGTGATAAAGGTTGACAAGGAGCAGCTATATTTACAAACTCAAGGGAATAACCGTTTGAAAAAAAAAAATGCAGAACAGAGGAGAGTCTGCTGGCAAAACAAGAACGCAACAGAGCTTGTAATGAAACCAGAATCAACTAAAGGATTTGAAATGTTGTAAAAGAGCCGAGATGGCTTTTTTATTGCTCAACAGGCGAGTAAGGTATTTTATTGAACAGATAAATATGCTATATGTTGCCCTCTAAGAGTTCATTGTAAAGCAGCATCTGTTGTGAAGGGTGTGGAATTTATCTTCAAGGAACTTCTGTGTCTATCAATGGGTAAAGCTACAGTAACATCTTTAGGTAGTCAGCTTTCCATCTAAACTGGCTATATCTCTTAAGCCTAGTTATGAATGTTTTATGAGCAGTAGGAGAACCATATTCACAGTCACACAAAGCCGAAGCACAACCAAAACAATGTTCTTCTGCAAAATGCATGCCGTTTTGTTTTTTAAAGGTGAACTATGCAAGTTTTTTACCTCAACCGAACAGCTTCGGAGTCATTGGAATGGTTATATTACTCTTTTCGGGTTGAATGGTGGTCGTTTCGCACCCCCCTATCGCATGTGAGCGGAAAAAACACACTTGCAACTTTGAGCCGGCGGGCCGCCGGCCGCAGCATCAGGAAGTGTCGCGTGATATCAGGTCTCGCGATGTAACGAATTGTTTTACGGCAAAAAAGATCTGATAAAATTCGGATAAAATAAGCATCAAACAGAAATAACCCGGCGCCGTATACATGTGGTGTTCAAGGCGCACATACAATACAGACTGCCGACAGTTAAACAGGGCGCGCGCAGCTCTTAAAGGGGCCACACCTTATTTCCACTCGTTACAGCGTCCATCCTACTGAACAGGTACCGGTGTACAGGGGGAGGGGATCGGCCGTGAGTGCAGAGCCATCTCTGCGTGAGTGCTATTCACGACAGTACAAGTACTCCACAGCGACTCTAGGGGTCGCTGTTTGACAAAAACGGAATTCCTGCATAGTGCACCTTTAACTGCTAGAGGACCAAAGGTTACATAGTGCACCTTTGAAGTAAAATATTAAAGTAATATACATAAGAGGAATTATTCCATGATTGTTGTATAATATTTTCCTCCTGCAGCTCCCAGGATGAGATGAACTCTCAATGGCTGCAGGATTTCGCTCCGTACTCCCCCAGCAGTGAGCTTGACTCCAGCTCCGCGAGACAGGAGAGTCCCGTGAGCAGCCACAGCTGGATGAAACAGGAACCAGAGACTGAACTAATCCAGTGGGGAAATATAAAATCAGTGCCAGCTGATAATTCTACAGAGCAGGACAACCCTCCGAACAGTGCCGTCTCCAGTACGTGATTTTTCATTTACTGACAATCAATGTCAATCTCCAAAATGCAATGATGGGACAGAGTTAGAGAGAGCATTTAAGTATTGTCTGTAGTGATGTCAGGGCCGGCCCAGGCTTTGTTGGTGCACTTGCTGAGATTTTAGATTGTGTATTATTCACATATTCTCCTCTTTTTTCAGCACACATAAAAACCACAATTGCCAAAGTGCGATTTATCTTGGTATATTTGTTATGACGTTTTATTCTTCTATACTAACTCGTGGCGTAGCCTATGATTCAGTAGGTCATCATCCTACAGTTTACATGCATGTCGTTCCCAAGTTTATTAGATCCATTAGACTATAGTCTTAGTCATTCGATATAAAGGGGGGGAAAACATTACAGAAGCTTACATTTATTTGAAAGAAAACACACTGCACTTTACTTGCAGTTTAAAACAATCAAAAATGGCCCACAGTGTTAGTGTCACTCATCTCAGTTTGTCGCGATCTCTCAGAGTTCTGTTATAATCAATGAAGCTGTCTCACAGCACAATTAATCTCTCATTTATATCGTGTCTACACTTCGTTTGCTATAATGAGAGGAATCGTGAGTGTGCAGAACTCAGAGTCAGCACTGAACCAGAACTCAGACGTTTTAATCGGTGACTGGATTCTGACTAACTTAAACACCTCGAATCCCAACCAGTCAATTGGGTTATTATTGGAAGGCTGTTGCTAATGTTTTTTTATTATTATTATTATTATTATTATTATTTCTCACTATCCATTGTTTCCTTTTTGTGAGTCTATAATTAAATGAGATGATCAGTTAGAGATTTTTTTTTTCTTCTTTTGTAGGAACAAATATACGGAAGCGTATTGCATTCACTTGAGGGAAAAAAATCTACTCTGTTTTTCTGAATTAACGAGTTAATTATCTCAGAATTACGAGATATTTTTTCATGAAAAAAAAAAAACGTTTTTGCTCTGTTTTTCTGAATTAACGAGTGAATATCTCAGAATTATGAGATACATTTTTCTTGAAAAACATTTTTTTCACTCTGTTTTTATGAATTAATGAGTTACTCATAATTCTGAGATAATTAACTCGTTAATTCAGAAAAACAGAGCAAAAACTTTTTTTCCATGAAAAATGATCTCGTAATTCTGAGATAATTAACTCGTTAATTCAGAAAAACAGAGTAGATTTTTTTCCTCAAGTGAATGCAATACGCTTCTGTACAAATACATATACATAGACAGTTTGTTTAGTTTCTATCTTTCTCAGCAGTGATACCCCCGAACACGGAGGATTTACCCAGTGGTGTTATGCTGACCATCACCAAACTTCAGTGTCTGCTGGAGAGCAAACAGGAGAGGATTGAAGCTCTGGAGAGACAGGTGCAGGACCTACAGGAGGATCGCAGGTTCCTCCGCTCTCAGATCGAGAACCTCACAGGCGCTCTCTCTACTCATGTCTGTCGAGGGGTTTCGGATGAAGCAACTGGAAAAAGTTAGATGGTTCCTATGAAAGTTTTCAAGTCAGTGCATAAACTGTAACTGAATGGACCCTTAGGGCCAGATTTACTAACAGCTTGGCCAGTGCAAACCCTCTTTTGGGGTTAAAAAACTACCTAAACTACTAGTTAGGATTTACTAAAGACAAGCAGTGAAGAATGAACACTGAAAAGGCGTAGACAGTTATTTTTGCGGCTGATCATTATGGAAATGATCCGGCTGTGTCTGTTCTTTAATTTGCATGTCGTCAGTAGATCACGCGCAGAACTTTCCACTCCCATCGCCACTTTTGTGGGTTTGCGCTCTCACGCTAATTCGCCCTGTTAAGTAAATCTGGCCTTTTGATGTTCAAACATTTTATTAAATTTTTTTTGTGTTTGTCATTTTATCATTGTTACTAATTTATTTGAGTTTTGAACAGTTACCAGTATGTATTAGCTAATCAATATCTATTGTTATCATTATTATTAGGAATAGTTCATCCTAATGAACTATAGTTCATTTTCACAAAATGAAAATTTTGTAATTTACTGAGAATTGCCTTATGTCATTCCAAACCTGTATGACTTTCTGGGACAATAAAACGTCTTCATCTCTGTCGCTAAAGGTGTGTGCTTATTTACTGGCGTTTAGCGAATTTTCTCTGGCAAAACTCAGTCATTGGGAATCCACGCAATCTGGATTTTTTTTGGCGTAAGATTTCCATGTGCAGATTTTGCAACTACTTGGGGTTCATCATGCAGATTTGCAATTTTGCTCCAATTTCACAGGCACAATTTCACTTGTCCATTGTCAGTAGTGTAGTTTAGCGATGCATGAAGCCCTGCTCACATGGATGATCTATACAGCAGTCTCTTCACCTGAGAAACGGCAAATGTCCCTGCTGAAAGAAACCGCTAAATCCAGTCTAAGATTATTGGCTGGTCTCATCTGGTTTAGCAGGATGGATTTAGATGGGTTTTTGTCATTTCATTAGCTGGTCAGGCTGGGAGACCAGCTGAACACCATCTTAAACCAGCCAGTCAACTTTAGGCTGATTTTACCTGTATATTTTTTTCCAGCAGGGGTGATGATCCAGCATGATCATGACATCATGAAATGAATGTTAATTTTGAGTAACCTATTAAAAATGCATTGCTTTGGTGCACAATGTAGAACGAAAGCACTCACTTCATTTTGCTATTTAATCAGTCGCTGTTTGATAGCTTATAAGAAAAAATCAAGACTACCAACATAAAGAAAAGGTAATGGGTATGCTTTGCATTTGTGGAGAAACCGTTTTTAAATAATATTTGTAGACATGCATATTTTAATAAAGGATATCTGTTTCTATCATAAGTGACATTCAGAGATATAAAGGCTACACGGGCAGTCACTGGTTGTCACCTATGATATAAACATAGACAGTAAAAGAAAGGATATAAATTGCAGAAAGGGTCTTGAACTACCGTAAGTGAGCGCATCGAATAGAAGTTAGAACAGAACACTTCCACCAACACAACTTCCTGTTTGGTTACTGGCTGGTATGGAAATCACGAGCGAACTCCACGCCTAGACACTAGAGGGCGTTCTGATACCTTCTGCTGGATTAGCTTGTTATCAAAGCCACTAGATGACAAGACCGCTTGCTTGGGTTGCTTGCTCTTTCTGCACAGAAGAACTTTGTTTGGCGGTAAGTGGGAGGCTGGACGAGAAACATACAATGTTACAGTGATAATTCACTCAAAATTAAAATTCTGTCATCATTTAGGCCTACTCACGTCATTCCAAACCTGTATTAATTGTGGATTGGGCTTTAAAGTATACATTTAAAGATGTGTTCTACTCATTTTTTTTTACTATTGGTAACTTACGTTATCTATGGTTCAATGAAGAACCTTTACAGAACCTTTCACGGCACAAACGTTAAATATTGGGCGTTTTTTTTTTTTTTTTTTTAGAACTGTTCACTTATTAAAGGTTCTTTGGGGTTCTTAAAATGGATCTTATCACTTGTCAGAAAGTCGGCCTTACAGGTTTATCACTTCTCGCGCTAGTATGCTTGCTTCATCATGCTAATAATTTGTTGTAAACCTTTGACCATGTCTTCATCATTTATTTGTGCTACATTTAAATGCCTTTTATGTTGAACACTTTATTGTTTACCTTTGCCCCAGACTTTCAATCTTAAACCATGAAAATAAACATAATTATACATTCTTTTTATCTATCGGCTAAATAAGGGTGACGTTTTGCTAAACCATTTTGGTATATTTTGTTTGAATTTTTCACAAATTACGGCTGTCCTTTAATTAGGATCTGACGTAATTTCCATCAAAATTAACCTTTTTGCCCATATAAAGTTTTTTCAAAAGTTAGTGTTCTTATTTACCCATTAGACAAGATGAGACACCCGTGTGAAGAGAAAACAGAAAAAACACAGTAAATATAGCTTTTGGACAGAATTGTTTTTATATTCTTTTAGAGAAAACTGTCTTTGTGGCTGGAATGCTGTATTGACAAATCAACATCCAAGACAGCTGCTATCCATTTTATGTATTTTTATTCAGTATAAATCCACTGTAGATGTCTATATACAGCTGATGTCTTCACCAGTAGAATGAGCCCCAGATGAAGGTTCTTGCGAGCTTGTCTTTGGGTAGCAGGAAGTGACAGTTCGGCGTGTTTTCACTGACTTCCTGCTGTTTGCTGTTCAAATGGAGTGACAAATTAGTAGTGCAAAGCCATTATAGGCCTCCACTATCTGTTTATCTTTCTGTGGCACTCTGTCTTTGTCATTCACACACTTTTTCTCTCGGCTTCCTCTCTATCTCTCCTTCCAGTTTGTCTCTCTCTCTCTCTCTCTCTCTCTCTCTCTCTCTCTCTCTCTCTCTCTCTCTCTCTCTCTCTCTCTCTCTCTCCAACAAAGCATTGCCATTGCAGTCATTTTTGATGGGATGACTTCCGATAAATAAACAGGCTGAGTGTGTGAGAGTGTGTCCACCTGCTGTCTTTTCAGAGCTGACAGCTGTAGTCCTCTTGCAGACGGCTGAGGGAACCGGAGGGTCTCGCTGAAGGGGACGCCATGCTTTGAGCCTAATGGAGCCTGAAGCATCATAACGGACGTGACTGGAATGAGGACCGACCGCAGCTGCGGCGATGAGGTCCTGTAAGTGACGGATTTCACAGGGTGGTCTGGTTTCATACGAGCTGAATGTGTGGCAGGTGCAGTGGCATGATTTTGAGCCAGAGTTCACCATCCTTCCTCCCAAAACTGCGCGTATGTAAGATCCCAAACACTTGATGAATAGAGCACACCTGCAGGCTTATTTGACCAGATGACCAGTCATGACCACTATATTCCCTACATCTGTCAGGTTGTTATGATGAAAACATGTTTTCAGCCAGGAACTGTAATTTTCACTATTAACTAACTATTACCTATGACTTTTGCCTCAATAAACTCCTAATTACTGCTTATTAATAGTTAGTAAGGTAGGATTAACGGATGTAGAATATGGTCATGCAGAATAAGGCATTAAAGGGATAGTTCACCCAAAAATGAAAATTAAGTCATTAATTACTCACCCTCATGTTGTTCCAACCCCGTAAGACCTTCGTTCATCTTCGGAACACAAATTAAGATAAATTTGAGAGCTGGATCACTGCTACATAGGCTTCCTAAGGGAGTGAAACTTGACGGCCCAGAAAGTCATTGAAGAAAATGTTTAAATATTCCATGTGACTACAGTGGCTCAACTATAAGTTTATCAAGCGACGAGAATACCCTTACGGGGTTGGAACAACATGAGGGTGAGTAATTAATGACTTAATTTTCTTTTTTGGGTGAACTATCCCTTTAATATGTGCTTTATAAGTGCTAATAAACAGCCAATATCCTAGTAGTGATAGTGAGAAATGGACCCTAAACTAAAGTGTTACCATTATTTCAATTACAAAAATGATTTAATGGCGTAATATAACTTAAAGGTGCATTGTGTAATATTTAGGAGGATCTGTAGACAGAAATGCAATATTATATACATAACTATGTTTTATAAAGACCTTACTTAATGAACCGTTATGTTTTTATTACCTTTGAGTGAGCCATTTCTATCTACATACACCGCGGGTCCCCTTACATCGAAATGCGCCGACATGTTTCTACAGTGGCCCTAAACGGACAAACGCGTTTCATCACTATGTTCTTCGTGCAAGGAAGCTAGCTAAAGTCAGCGAATAAAACACTGACACAATGATGAACAAGGAACAATAATATTCACAATAACATCGTTTTACTGAATAATAAAGTAAACATAATTTCTTAATTTATCTTTGTAAAGGAAAGAAAAGTCATCACATTTCTCCTATTTTAGCTTCTCTCAGGTGGCTACCAGTGGATTTCAGGATAAAATATAAAACTGCTGTATGTTTTTAAAGCAGTGCGTGGGATAGCTCCTGCTTATATGAGCTCATTGCTCTTCATCAAGCACCTAGGTCTTTAAGATCAAATAATAAGTCATTGCTTTCTGTCCCTCGGTCTCATTTAAAGTGAAAAGGTGATCAGGGCTGTGTTCAGCCCCGACAAAACGTTGCACAACGTTTTTTAAACAGAAACGGTGATGCGTTGAACACACTGTTCTGATGACGCAAGAGTTGCAACTATGGCAGCTGAGAAGGCCATTCTTTGTGTTCTTTGTGAAGAATTTTCGGAGCCTGATGAAGTCGGTATAAATTATGTGTTTAATACTTCAAAATATGCCCGATGTTACAGTTACTGCACTTGCCGCCCAGAACACAAGAGAACATCCCAATCGAGTGAAGGGATTTGTGGAAACTGAAATGGAAGCACACATCTTACCTAATTCAGACTGAAGCACATCTATTCAGCCTCACATACTGACTTTATTTGTAGTTCATACTGTTTTAATACCCTGTATTTTCTTTTTCATTTTTCGGGAAAGCACTTAATTACCATTGTTTATTTCTACCAAATGTCATACACTTGCAATGAGCTAAAAATATAAACAACTACATCATTATGTTGATATCCTGTATTTTTACTATAAAACTT